GTATGTGCGCTTATATTCGAGAGATACCAAGTTTTACATTAAAAAAAACCGAAAAAAGTGGCATTTTGGCATTTCCGGACCATCTTTTTTTCTTAATTTTGAGCCCGAGAAAAGTCCGCAAAATACATTTTTGAGTACTACTATATGTCTACTATATAAAGACCAAGTTGGAAGTCCGTAGGAATTCTCTGGAAGGAGATCCGATTTTTGGGGTAGCTAAAAAATCTTGATTTTTGGCCCAAATTTTATTTGGACTACGATTTAGGTAAATCTTTGGCGGTGTTTTTGTAGAGCTTGCTCCGCTCTATCGAATGGAAGCTAAAGTATATTAGGAGAATAAAAACAGCTCAATTTATTTGTGGAGTTTACTTTTGGGACAACCTAATATAATAGTTTGTCAAAGGAAAAAATGCAAAATTAATGAGCCTTGTTTTTGAACAATCTTCTTTCATCATATTTTTTCCCCTCAACAGGTTTGGCAAACTATTAAAGAGCATTTTTCGATCTCTATCCAATGCTAAGGCTTCTAGCCGTATTTGTTAACAAGTACAGAAGCTTTACATAAACTTAAGAATCAGAGTTTCATTGCATTTGCTTTTCTGGCCAAAGTTCATGCGCGAATGTTGATATTCCTCCAAAATTCAGCTACTGCATGTGATAGAATTTTTCTACATCGCACAACACGAGAGTCGCTGCGGCCTTTTTATGGCCCATGGATGCAATTGAAGAACGCAGTCAACCTTACTTCACTCACTTCTGTAAGGCCTATGCCATACCTCCAGCAATCCCGTCGTCACGATTTTCGATCGCTGCGACTAGACTGCCTGGATACCGTTCATTTTCTTATCTGAACATCGCTCATCGCTTGCTTACCGGATATGCCCAAAGCGATTTCTCAGGCGCTGGTACATTACACCGCGTTTTACGCACATTTGGAAGATTTGCGTTAGCGTGTCTGAAATTATTCAAGGAATTTCGAACAGAACATGGCGCCGTATGCTTTCAGAGAACATCACATCAAACAAGGAAATGGACTCACATTCTTCCTAGTATCTACCAACGTTTCTTTACCGGCGCTAGTTAACATCCGCAATGAAATTAACTACTAGTTCATAAAGTTTTGAGTTCACTCTTTCAATCATTGATAGGCATATACTTTAGCAATCATTGGTAGGCATATACTTTAGCATCGTAACGGTAAGGTCATGCTTTGAGCCTTGTAAGAAAACTCTGGGTAGGCGTATTTTAACAGCGAGTGCTGCGCGAGCTAGCTGCGAACGATTATGCATATAACGATTATATATAAATGCTTGAGCAACCGAGATTGCACATCTATTCTTTTTCAAAAATTATTGTGAGATCATTCGAGATTCGGTCACCATTTGCCTGCTATTGATAAACAAGAACGGGAGAAGATTAGTGCATTGTGAGAACTAAATGGTAACGCAGAGGGTGAGGTGACATATGGCAAGCATTTCATACTATGTACTTCGCATGTGTTCAATTCAAGGTTAACACGTTTCGGACCACGAAATGCGGCGTGCGGCGAGAAAGAGTATTCATTCAACCGTTAGCCAACGAAAGGACCTTATTTCATAGACTGTGTGCTACATCTGCAATCAGCGTGTCATATGAGCTCCACACCCAAAGTCCTGGGTGAATTCGAAGCGTTTGAATTTTTTCGCTTAAGAAGGACTTTTGTGTTTTCCTGAAAGATAGGAACAAAAACTCAGCTTCTGATGCAATCTAAAATTATCTATGTTGTGGTACACATCATTATCGAAACTACAGTTTTTCTCTTTGAAATCGAAGCAAAGAAAATTTCAGACGTTGCACGCGCTCTTCGCGTTGCCGCACTTTGTTGCAGCTGTTGCTCGATTTGTCTCTCATAGCTCCTGAACAAATATCGACGGCACTGCTCTACAGAGTCATGCGAAAAGTAGGAACTTGAGCCTTCGACTCGATAACCTTTGACTAGAAGAAGCCCCTCTTGTAAAGGTCAAAAAGATTCTTCAAAGCAGCCTGCACCATGTGCAGCACCTATCCGAAATGTATTAGATAGTATCAAATGCTCGATGACCATCCTCTCATGCAGAGAGAGGGTGCTTGTGTGAGATGGAATAGTTCTAAATGAGGTTCGCATATGCAAAAGAATACAGAACTTACAGAACTTCTCACAAAGAAGGAGCCATTTCAGCGAATCGCCCATCACTGGTGCAAAACTAACGACGGCGACATCGCTGAGTTCCAGCGAAGTCGCAACGATTATCCTGCTGAGGGTATGCCCGTCTAAAAATGGTCCGCAATTCGTCGCAGTGTCAATCTAAAACAGACGCAGCGGGACCAGACAGTTACAGGCGCATGCGCTGCGGACTCGGAACACATGTCCGAGTTGGAAAAAGCGACGCGACTGGGATCGCGGGAAGTATCCTTAGGCCTCAAATTATGTGGCGAAAAATGCATCGCCACCTTTTGAAGCCGCAGACTTAGTTGGCCTGGGAGGTTTCCGACATTCTGAACACTCAGTTGGTACATACGCAATGACAGAATCTTTGAACAACTCAGGATGTTTTTTTTGCTTTTTCGTTGTATATTGCGCCTTCTTCGCTTTTTTTGTTATGCTGATTGAATAAAGATTTTCCTATTGTTTTACCTCAGAAGGGACTTCGTAAATTTTCGCGAAGTCATTGTGGACTTCGTTTCCGAAAATACTCCAAACCAATGCGTGCCGGGCCCTGCAGAATTACATACGATAGCATATATTATACCGTCTGTCTCATTTGAAGCGATCTTGGCCGAAAATGTCGTCTCATTTTCGCAAACCTGATTGCGAAAAACAGGTCAGTGGCGAGCTTTGATCGTTAATTAGGCGTGAAGATTGCAAACGCGGTGCAAGCTAAAGGTCATGTAGGACTCAAGCCGCCAGTCAGGCTCACTCCAAACATGACAAAGGATACAAAATAACTGTTCAAATACTTAACTCATTTATAAATTTCGTTGAAAAGTAAGGAATGTGAGTCAATGAAATCCCAAAACGCCCAAACGTGAGACCACTCGAAGATAAAAAAACATCTAAAGCTTTGACTTTACTAAAGGAAGAGTGTTTTATAGCAGTGGGCCCTACCTAACCCCTGGCATATCTGGCCTTTTTACACTTTTGAAAGCAAGGTTTTGTGGGACATCTCAATTCCGTTTGGATATTCAGTCCAAGTCTTATATTGGTAAGACATCATACAACTTGAAAGCAGCGTCTCACTATAACTTGATGTGGACTTTTGCATACAACAAGCATTTCCAGTCTATGCGGACCAAATTACTCTCTGCGGACCACTTTGACTCCATTTTTATCAGCGTAGAGCAGCCAAGTAGTGCCGAAATTATTACGAAGGCCTATTTGGGGGCCCAGTAGAGTATAAGGGGTCTCGCGACCTCAGCTTTGAGACATATGCCTTTGAAGCTTCAATCTCGTTCTCAGCAGAAATGAAGAGTTGGGGGCGGCAAATTCCACTTTTAGACTGCAGTTGAAGAAAATGCAGCCATTGCTAAATTAAGAAACTATAATTTTATTTGATCCTGTTGATTGTATGTTAAGACATAATTATGGATCCCTTTACAAGAGGGGAACATATCCTAAATTTCTTGAAAAAAAACTAACTTAGAGCATTTCCTTTGCTTGGCTCGATCGATAAGTAGAACCATTGTAGAGCTCAAAATTTGAATTTTTATATCTCGATCGAAAGTGGAATAATCGAGGGAATTGCGGATCTCCCTCACATATTTGCATAGTAGTTTTTGATTCCCGGTTCTTTGAAAGTGAATCAAGTAAGGTTTTGAGGATAAAAATTGATCGCTTTTTACAGCTTTTTTTGTTCGAACGATCTTGATATAACGTTTCAGTGTAGACGATACCACGAAAATTGTTCGATCAATATTGCAATTTCAACTGAGCCATTTCCAGCAAAAACAATTTACCCACGGTATAATTCTTCAATCATAAAGCTAAATGTTTTATTTAACTGCGTGAACAGATAAAAGTCCAGCATCACTACAACGTGATCACGAGCACTTCTCAATTTGTTAACTTGCGGCTGGTTTTTTTCCCATTTGCTAGTACAAAATTAGCAATAAATGAAGGTAGCATCTCATTCTTAGGTATGATGGAGGAATCTCATTTAGTCTTATCACATAAACTAGTGCCTGGAAGGTAGTTATGGCTCAACCAGTATTGTTTATATTTCTGATATTCTGTCCAGCCCTTTGAAAAAGTCCAAATTTAGATGATATAAATTCATCGCATAGTTGGCCGTTGCATGTCCAGACGCTTGAGAAAATAATTTACCCTTCTAAAAAATTTTTTTGGCATTATGCAATGTGATGATAACAAGGCATATGCTGCTCCTGGTCCATTGCAACAAAGTTTACTCCATTTTCTGAAATTTTCTGAATCATTTTGACAGTAAGCCTTCTACGAAATTCTTCTATGCCCTGTAAAATTAAGAGCGTCCAGCGTACCAATAAAAAATCCGCTTCTTTTCATGCTTTGATTTTTCATAAAGAAAGGCGACTAGATATCTCACAAGCTCTTTAAACATGATAGGAAGTTGCTCTTTCCTCTAAAAGCAGTGGCTCGGCGAAACAGACTTCTGCCTAATTTTGATAATGACATGTAGTAGACCCTCAGACATACCGTAGATCCAACCTATCATCCAAGTCAGTGGTCCACAATGATGGGATTAAAAGCGCGTTTCGACAATTTAGCTCATGAATTGGCAGCCAAGGTCTGGACTATGGCTTTAGTGTTCCACCATTCGATACCAAAATCTGACAGGAATCAATTTTGCCAAGCCATTTTTATTGAAAATTTCGAAGAAACTACAAAACCTACATATAGCCAGTAGCCAAGAACAGCCATAATTGACTATATACAAATTACGTGCTCGGAAGCCACAGGGCAGAGTTTGAAATTTCATTCAAATTCCACAGCTATGACAATCAATTCCAAGTATGCTCCTTCTCTCTACGTTACTGATTTGCCTCGTCAGCATTGTGAGCCCACAGGGACTTTATCGTTATGGTTATGGTTATGGTTATGTCCCGCGTGTGAGTCCACAGGGACTTTATGGTTATGATCCCCGTATGAGCCCACAAGGACTTTATGGTTATGATCCCCATATGAGCCCGCAAAATTTTGGCCCTATACCCTTTGTTCAAAACCTTGGTCCGGCTCTTCAACTGGGAAGTTAGTCATATTTTTTGAACGTGTTTTCCGTTTCAGCTTTATATGTACTCAAATTTAGCGGGAATAGCCAGTGGCGTATTGCAAACAATAGCTTATGGTCTCGGAGCATTCCCAGCGTTACTACAACGTAGAATACCTTACCTTCAACAGCCTGTCCCACAACAGCCGCCACCGGAAGTAGATGGCCCTCCAGAAGAGCCAGATGGCCCTCCAGAAGAGCCGCCTATGCCGTTAAACCCGCAAGAAACTGTGCCAGAAATGGATTCGTCTCAGCCGGAAGCAATTCAGGAAAGTGAACCGCCAGGTGGCCCATCGCCAAATAATATAGAAATGGCACCTATGCCGCTCAGACGACAAGGACCGTTGCCGAGAAGCAATCACCCAATGCTAAAGCGAGAGAGGTTTCCCCTAGCGTCAAAGCGAAAAAGAAAGACACCAATGCGAAAGCGAGAGAGAAGACCTCCAAGGCCGAAGCAGAGGAGAAGGCTACCAAAACCAAAGCAATGGAGGAAGTCTAAGTAGAGCCAGGTAGTTTTGTAACATAATGTTCATAGTACTTCTTTACTTTTCATATTACAGTACAAAGTTGAGAATTTTGTACATTGAGTTTACGAATAGTGATAGTGATAGCTTGACAGCTTTGCAGTCGCCTTTATGGCCCATAACAAAGTTGATAGGTTGTGATGTCTCGCTGGAAACGTGCCTCGTGCCCCTTGAAAATCTTATCAAGAAGGGCATGACACCCTCCAACGCGATCGACGCGGGTCATGTCCGAGACAAAGCCCGGCACGCTGGTTTGGAGCAGTCTTGGAAACAAAGTCTTCCATGACTTTTCAATTTCAATTCACGAAGTCCCTTTCGACGTAAAAGTCAGTAGGGGAAACCTTAATTCCAAGATAACAATGTAAAGCGAAAGAAAGCGCAGTTGGAGATATCTAATACAAAAAAGGCAAAAAGTTTGAGTTGATTAAGGGCTCGACATTGGGTTCCAGTGTTTAGAATGTTGAAAACCTCTTAGAGCAACCAAAATCTATGGCCTCAACAATCTGGCGATGCATTTTCGCCACATAATTTAAAGGACATCGCTTGTGATTGGAGCGCGATACCTATCATTGCGTAGGTTTACACTATTTTTGGCTCGAAAAAAAGGAGAGGCATTGGTTTGATACGCTCTCTTCACTATATGATAGATTTTTGAGCGATCTAGTTGCTCAAATCAAAAAGGGTGCAAATGTGAACTCTTCGGTATTTCTAAGTTTAACTCCGAACCAATCAGTTGGTTTGATATTGGTCGAGAAACCAACAAACTCGGGAACGGGTATTTTACGCATAAGCTTTTGAAAATATGTAATATAGTTTGGGGTAATAGTGTATAGGTGCCATGTGATTGTTTGTGCGCTATAAACAAACCATTTATTTGTTTGAATCTTGCGTTCGAAATTCGCTCGCTTGCGAAAGAACAGTTCAGCTCATAAAACCTGACATGTTTGTGGTGTTTTTTTTTCAGCACTCCGCCTAGAACCTTATAAAAACGATATCCCACTTGCTTCCAAACACTAAAAATGAAGTCTAGTTTGTCTCGACCATCTGTGCCAAGCCCTGGCCCGAGATTTGCTTGAATGGAGCGAGTCGAGCGCCACCCCTGTGCCTGCCACGATGACGGTCAAGAATAGTGCGTTGAAAAGCACGGGCATAATAGGAGGTGGGAGCAGCAGAGCACAGGAATACTCATCTTTTCAACATTTTTTCTTCTGTAATTCGAATTGGAGCCTTCACACGGAGTATGTTTTGAATACGATGAGTTTCGCGAACTTTCTCCCAAATTTACCCTCAAGCTACAATTTGTGATGTTTTATCATAACTTCCAAAGTTTTTTCTGCTGTTCACGCTGGTCATATAACAGCAGTTCTTCGAAATTCCCCGAAAAACTCGACATATTGTTTGGAAACCCCTAAAAAGGGTGTGCAGTTTTCGAAATGATGTTGAAGGTTGTTCGCAATAAACGTTTTGAGATTTTTCAGAAGTGACAGCTACTTCATTACGAAGCCGATGGAGAGGAAGGTTCAATATCTTTTTTGTAATGAAGAGCTATCGATGAGTTGTTTTGCACTAGTGTATATGAAACGTGAGCCCAGCCCCTATTCATATTTCAAGGTCGTGTTTCTAAGAGTAGGAAGTTATTGGCAGCCAGTGCGTCGCCGAGGCACGCATGATTTTACTGTCCATAAGCTCGCTTAGTTAGATGGTTTCTTACTGCGGTGATCGTCAATAAACTAAACAATTATTCATTTTAAAAACTTCTCCATGTAGGATTGATAACTTTGAAAAGCAGAAACATAGTGGAAAAACAAACTTAAGCTCAAAGCAGTCATTAATTGCTATGGCATGAGGATACAGCATGAGGATTACGATGACGAAAGGACTATCAGAGAATCTGTGAACATTGAAAGGAGGTGAAAATACTTTTCGATTCGCGGGAAAATGCATCCGAAAAGCGATAATGAGGCATTTCTTGGAAGAAACACTTCGAGAACACTATTTTGGATTTTTTGATTAGTTCCCGTTGCTGTCCTCGAAGATACGCTAAAGAAATTTTTGAAAGGCTATTGTGGACTGAAAACGGAAGCTTACGCAGTTAGAACCTTGAATGAATCGTATTAATCAGTCTAAACCTAGCTTTAATAATTGCTGTTTTATGCATTTTTCTGATCAGGTACACCAATTTTTTCCTTGTAGGGCAGGCATGCAGAGTCCCACAGTCACACTTGAAAGAGACACCAAAGTGTCTCCACTGACTTCGACTGTGCTCTCTCAATCTAAGCAAATTCGGAAAAACTCATGTGCTATTGAAGTGGATTGTTAAATGCTTGACAAATTTTTCCGTCAAAGGTCAGCACGAGACTGTGTGATCAAAGCAGTATTGAATACTCTATGTTGTAAGGTGATAGATTACGTAAGTCTCCAAAAATCTTATGCAAGCTCTTTCACTATCGCTATACTATCTTATATATAAAGCTGAATGTCTGTCTGTATGTATGTATGTATGTATGTATGTATGTCTGTACGTATGCTCCGAATAGAAAATTCCATTTCTGAACCGATCCGGACCAAACTTGGCACACATACACTTCGGGCCCCGGCGGGTGTCGCAGGCTACTTTTCGTCATCGATCGATATCGATTTTTATCGATTTTTATCGATTATTTTGCAGAGTTCACCTACGGGGCTGGGAGTTGGCACAGGGGGGTAATCGAGCATGGGGATTCCGAATACAATATTAATTTTCAGGATTATCGATTTTGTAAAGTTTGACCTGCGGAGCTGGGAGTTTGCACAGGGGGGTGATCTAGCATGGGGATTCCGAATACAATATTAGTTTTTGAGATCGTCCCCTACATTTAACGATTTTATCGATTTTTTTGCAAAGTTTGAGCTACGGGGCTGGGAGTTTGCACAGGGGGGTAATCGAGCATGGGGATTCCGAATACAATATTGTTTTCAGGACTATTGATTACTTTTATCGATTTTTATCGATTTTTTGCAGAGTTCACCTACGGGGCTGGGAGTTTGCACAGGGGGATAATCGAGCATGGGGATTCCGAATACAATATTAGTTTGTAAGAACTTTCACTACTTTTATCGATTTTATTAATTTTTTGCAAAGTTTGAGCAACGGGGCTGGGAGTTGGCACAGGGGGGTAATCGAGCATGCTGTTTACTAAAACAGCGGCGGGAATAGTGATTTGGCATGTAGGCGTGGGCACAGGAAAGGTTCGTACAGGAATAGGAATAGTGTTCTTTGACATAGTGTTTTGACAGGGCCGGGCGGAGCCGGGTAAGCAAGCTAGTTCTTTATATAGTCGCCTAGACTGGGCTTGGGATGACGTGGTGATTTTTTGTTACTGTTGTGTTTTCGTGTGACTAACACATGACTTTTGTGATTTGGAACGCCTCGAGCGTATGAATGAATGAATGAATTGAATAAACGAAGAAGCCTGATAAGTGCCTCAAGCCGTTTCCCTTTTGATTCTTACGAATTCTCGAAATCGATTCTTAAAACTCATTCTTGGAATTTATGCAAATGGTAGTCGAACTTGAAATCAACTTTCTGAAGCGCATCAGTCAATACACTTTTCTTTTCTGTACTCAGTAACAGTAAATTGATGCACTTCTATGACGCAATTTTTAAAGTTCCACATAACTCTTACATCTACAGAGTTATGCTATTGACGAAAATACGGTCATTTTTGAAGAAGCTGTATTTTTTCAAATTTAGATTATGCGCTAACATTTGCAAGTGACTTTTGGAAGAATATTTTGCCTTCACAAGCTCTCGATACACATACTCAGACAATCGCCAGGGATAGGCGGGTATCGGAAAAATAGATGGCTGATTTCTCGCGCTCCGCTCGCTGATTTTTCGGAAAAGTGGCCACGACTTTTTGCAAGCCGCTTGTTGATTTCTTGTTTCGTCCAAAAATCAGCAATATATCCGCGAGAAATCGGAGTGAAAAAAATCCAAGAGGAGGTTTTAAAACCTTGCTAGCCATTTTCCAGAAATCTGCGAGCGGAGTGCGAAAAGTCAGCAGCGCGGATTTTCCGGTGCCCGCCTATCCCCGGCGATTATCTGAGTATCTGGCTGTGGGTCGATTTTCCTCATTAGAATTTGGTATCTGTAAATGATTTACATAACGGTAATATTGAGATCAAGAATATATTATACCAAAGTTTCATCATCCCATGGCTTTTCTTCCAGTCCTTCTGCATAACTCAATATACTCCCGAAAAAGTCGGGGTGCCAAAAAAGTGTATACGCGCATGTGTCAAACTTACAATCGTAAAATTACAAGAAAAATGATTTTCATCATTTGTGTGATAATATAACCCTCACCTGGCCGTGGGAATTTACACTTTCGATTCAATTAAGATTGGCGATATTTGGTGTTTCGTGTTGTGACAGCGCACCAAATTCACGCAAATCTTCATCACATATTCAATCAGGTCATCAGCTGCGAACACATAAAGCGTCAAGTATAATAAAAAATAATGAAATCAATCCAACTTAAAGCTTACATAAAAGCAACCAAATCTCCTTACGGTGACGGTCAACAAGTAAGAATTAAAGTGCTTGATGGATTGTTTAAAATAATTTGAAAAAAATTTTTCAGGCACTACTGCCATTCACTAACTTTCCAAAAAGCGATCATAAAAATCAACTCATTGAAAGAGTTTGCACACTTTTGCTCATTTGATTAAGTACGTTGCTTGGCAATGGCTTGCTAACTAAGTGCGGAATGCGTACTGCCACGCTTTTTGATCTTTCGCTGACAGGCAGGGCACGAGGATGGCAAAATATCTCCACTAAGTTTTCTAATTTCTTACATAGTGTCCCAGCAAATGTGATAGCTATGTATGAGAAAGTTAACTGAGAAATCCTAATAAAGCTGTTGTTCGGCGGCCACTCTTATGATAGAATAAAATCTTTAAGGCCCTTACTATGGCTTATTGTGTACATCTGAAAAACAATAACTCATTTCAAAGCTATCTTATGGTGAAAACAGAGCTACGTGAAGAAATCTGGAGAAATTGACTGAAGAAAATATTTCTTTAAATATTAATGTCCGATGAGGAGGCTAGGGGTGCATAGGCAGAGATAACGAGTGAAAATGAGCGACGTCTGAGACACCAAAACAAAGAATTCTTTGCTTAGAACAAGAAGGAAACACCTGCACCATGAAATGACGAATCGGTGAAAGTACACTTCAAACTCATGAGTGCAGAAATCCTTTGCTTTGGTTTACGTGAGACTATCAGATTTTCTGTTGACAAAAGATTAGCCGAACTGGCAGACTGATTTATGTTTACTGCTAAATAAAGTCAGAATTAAGCTAGAACCACTGTCTGCAAGTGCTTATCCGTCCGAAGAAAATTATAAAATTTCCTCCGTCCACATTTCGATCTCATAGAGATGCTGGCAGAGGTTATGTCCACAAGAGGTATCCAGAGAGTATTTTTGAGATTATTCCATGCGTATTGGTTTTTCTGAGTGTTTACTAAAGCGATGTTCATCAATTTCCTTTACTGGGCCACTTACATAATTGAAACAAAGATAATTTATTGGGGAATTGCTTTGCAGGACGGATAAAAGCTTGAACAACACATCAAGCATAGATTTAGACCAAATCTTTCTACAAAACAAATTTCTATTTGATTCACGCTGAAGACCACTCGAAAATAACAAGCCTCAGCCCGCTACAGTATTAATTTCGAAGCTGTTGCGTACACAAATGGCCCAATTGTCTGGTTCAAGCAGCATTAAATTCAATAAAAAACTCTAATGTTGAAATCACACCATTCTAATCTTATTGCATAACATTTGTCAACTTCTCAAATAAATTAATGGTATAAAAATTCATACCTTGAAGGCAGTGTCCGGGCAAAAAGTCGATTTTGAGATTTTGTGCTTACCCGGGCCTATTCCCTATGCTGAATCCGAATATCCACATTGGAAAGCGCGAAAACGGCGAAAAAGGGCTCTAACGCAGGAGTGAAGTCAAAAGTAGGCGGGGTCTTCCCCAAGGTGAATTCACGGTCGCAGCTTTCGGAGCGATCTTTTCAATCCCACTAACCGCCCTGACAACTCAACGGACCAAGTGCGAATGCGTGATCTGAAGTCGGAAGCGAAAAGATCGCTCCGGGAGCTGGGACCGTGAATTCACCCTGGGGAAGACCCCGCCCACTTTTGATTTCCCTCCTGCGTTAGAGCCCTTTTTCGCCGTTTTCGCGCTTTCCAGTGTGGATTTTCGGATTCAGCGTAGCGAATAGGCACGGGTAAGCACAAAATTCCAAAATCGAGTTTTTGCCCGGACACTGCCTTTAAAGTCCATGAAGTCATGAAAGTTACTTACAAGTATTTGCATCGAGCTACCACAAATTCGCTCGCAGACCCCAGACACATCTACTCTATAAGAAGTTAATGTCAGATTTGCCTTGAATACCTGGAACGTTGCAAATTCTGCACGCGCAAATCCCGCGAAGAACAAATCGTAGAATCGCAGAAAACAAATTAAAAGTCAACGTTTTAGCCCTCCAGTATATGTAGGCACATCTTGTCTAGGCCCATCCACCAATTACTTTTCACCGCTCGCTGCCTGCTAAAGTAAGAATTTCTAATTGAGAATGTCATATCAAACGGCCACGGACATTGTTTGTGAGATTCACTGAAAATAGATTTTATTTTTATTATATTACTTTTTCTTATTTTTTTTTGATACTAAATTTTTCATTTATTTTATACAATGTTTTGAGAACATCACCTGTTGCATGACGCAAACTATGTGTTTTTGGTATGCATTAATATTGAATGAAAAGTTCATGTGCAACATCTGACACGAAAAAGACAAATGTTAACGAAGTTTAGGCGTTAAGGCTCAAAGATGTTTGAGATGGCATATATACGTACAGCCAACTTACGCATATAACCCTCTGTCTCATTTAAGTGATCTCGACTTAACTTTTTTCTAATCATTTTCTTAAGCTTGATTGTGGAAAAAGTTTAGTGGTGAGCTTTCGCGCGATGCAAGCTGAAGGTCATGTAGGACTCAAGCCGCCCAGTCGGGCTCAATCCAAACTTGACAAAGGATAATAAATAGCAGTTCAAATACTATAATTTAAAAAATCCCGTAAAAAAATAAAAAATGTGAGTCAAAGAAATCCCAAAACGCTCAAATAAAACCATGCTAAGGTAAAAATATCTAGAGCTTTGAATTTATTAGAGGAAGACTGTGTTTATCAACTGCCTGGCCTCTACTTGAACCCTAGCATACCTCGTCTTTTTTCACTTCAAAAAGCAGTAAAGATTATGGAACATCTCAGTTTCGTTTGGGCATTCAGTTCAAGTCTTATGTTAGTAAGACATCATATAGCTTGAAAAATATGTCTCACTAAATTGTGATGATCGGGACTTTTGCATACTATAAGTATTTTTAGTCCCGTGCAGACAATCATTCTCTGCGGGCCACTTTGAACCCCATTTTTACTAACGTGGAGAATAATGCCGGATTTGTTGCGATGGCCTACTTGAGAGCCCCATAAAGTATAAGGGGTCCCGGATCTCACAATCAGTTTTGGTGAGACATGCGCCTTTGAAGCTTTAGCCTTGTTCTCAGCAGAAATGAAGGGTTACGGCAAACATTTCCACTTTCAGACTGTAGTTGAAGGAAAAGCCGTTGAGATAAGGAACTATAATTTTATTTGATCCTGTTGATTGTATGTTAAAATAGACTTACAGATTCCTTTTTCGGAAGGGAAAGCTCTCCCAGAAAAAGCTTTAGCTCGAAACATTTCTTTCGCTAGGCTTGATCGATAAATGAAACCATTGTAGAGCTCTAAATTCAAACTTTTATATCTCGATCGAAAGTGGAATAATCGAGCAAATTGCGGATCTCCCCTTCATCATTTGCATAGTAGTTTTTGATTCCCGGTTGTACTTCCAGACTTACCTGTCTCTCAAAGTGAATCGAGTAAGGTTTTGAGAATAAAAATTGATCGCTTTCTTACAGCTTTTTGTTTGAACGATCTTGATATCACTTTTCAGTGTAGGCGATATCATGAAAATTGTTCGATCAATAATGCAATTTCAACTGAGCCATTTCCAGCATATACAATTTGCCCACGATATAATTCTTCAATCAAAAAGTTAAATGTTTCATTTAACGTGCATAAATGGAAGTCCAGCATAAATACGACGTGACCACAAACACGTCTTAATTTTTAACTTACGGCTGGTTCTTTCTCATTTGCTAGCACAAAATTAGCAACAAATAAAAGTAGCACCCCATTCTTACGTATGATGGAGGACACTCACTCAGCTTTACCACATAAACTAGTGCCTGAACAGTTCTTAGCAATGGCTCAACCAGCTAGCTACCCTGCTTATCTTTCTGATATCTGTCCAACCCATCGAAAAAGTCCAAATCTGTATGATACAAATTCATCGCATTGGCCGTTGCATGTCTAGACGCTTAAGAAAATAGTTTACATTCTAAAAAAATTTTTTGGCATTATGCAATGGCGATGATAACAAGGCATATGCTGCTCTTGGTTTGCTACAACAAAGTTTACTCCATTTTTTGAAATTTTGTAGATCATTCGGTAAGTCTTCTACGAAGTTCTTCTAAACCTGTGAAGTTTCGAGGGCGTCCAGCGTACCAACAAAAAATCCGCCTTTTCGATTTTCGCTTTCTTTCATCTTACTTCGAGCTTTGACTTTTTTCCATAGAGAAAGGCGACCTTAAAAATCTTACAAGAGCTTAAAACATAATAGAAGTTGCTATCTTCTCTAAAACCAGTGCTTCAATGATGACATGTAGTAGACCCCCAAACACAACGTAGATCCGACCCATCATCCAACAGTGGACCACAAGATGTAATTAGAAGCGCGTTTCGAATTAGCTCATAAATTGGCAGCTGAGGTCTGGACTACGGTCTCCTTAAGTGTTGCGCCATTTGATACCAAAATCTGACAGGAATCAATTTTGCCTAGCCACTGCCTATTGAAAACTTCAATGAAACTGCAAAATCTCATGTAGGCAATAGCCAAGAACAGCTAAAATTAACTATTATAGATAAAAATTACGTGCTTGGAAGCCAAGCGCAGCATTTAAAACTTCTTTTAAATTCCACAGCTATGACGAACAATTTCAGGTATGCTTCTTCTCTCTACGTTACTGATTTGCCTCGTCGGCAAAGTGAGCCCACAGGTTTATAATTATGGCTATGGTTATGTTCCCCCTATGAGCCCACAAGGACTTTATGGTTATGGTCCCCCTATGAGCCCACAAGGACCTTATGGTTATGTTCCCCCTATGAGCCCACAAGGACCTTATGGTTATGATCCCGTTGTTCGGACCTATCAGGCCATTGACGCCATTCAAGAGGGAAGTTAGTCATATTTTTTGAACGTATTTTCCGTTACAGCTTGGTATGCTCTTAAATTCAGCAAGATTAGCCGGTAACGTAGTGGAAGGAGTAGCTAATATTATCGGAGGTGTAGTATCAGCGAAGGTGCAAGATGTGGCGATGTTCGGCCCATCAACCTCTCAACCAAATGTTAACCAGCAATAAACGTGGCACAGAATACAGCATGAGTTGAGGTGTTGTTCAATAAAAGCAAATTTTAATGCTGTAGCTGTAAGTGGCAGATACATGTCATATATTGTAGTGGCTTCCAAAGGGACCTAAAATAACGATGTGTGTTTTATATTTGCGCATGTCTTTGATTAAAATATGGTTCAATGTGAAGTCATTTAAGTTCACGAACGTTGATCAGCTGGGTATACTGTAGCAAAGCGAGCAACTAGAATAGATTAAGAGTAACTGCTACGCTGCAGAGATAATAAATGCAGAGGAATCTTAATCAGATGGGTTAACCAAAGCGATGAAGAGGTAGGTATTTTTTGCAAACCACGCGAGAATTGTGAAAAAAAGAGACTTCTCCAGAGTGTCTGAAAGTTAATCTCTAGAAAACTAAAAAATTTCTGTTTGAAGGGTATATGCTTCAAAGAAACGTGCACTTTTCAACCGATTGAGCTAAAACTTTGCAAACAGATGTCTTCGACCCCGGATTACTGAAATTCACTGGGTCCTTCTATCGATTTATTGATTTTTGGCATTTCGCAATGAAAGTGAACACTTAACAGCCCCTATTATATCCGTTGCACACTTTGGTGTAATTGATGCAGTAAAGTTCATTTTCACCTTAAAGTAAAGAAGATGCAGTTATCGGAAAAATCGTTCTAAGGTAGGCTCATGCAAAAGAATAAGAGTGGAAGGGGGCCTTCCAGTGCAGTATCAAGACTGCAGAAAAGGGTCAAAGTACATGGCTGAGACGGGGAGGAAAGACAGAGTGTGGCTTTGGCCATTCTCCTGGACCACTGCCCGAGCTAGACCGGGATAGCCAACTAGTATAATATAAAAACAATGAGCAAATCATCAAGCGCATCTTTCGCACCCTACAGGAATCAAAAATTGAAAAAGATTCGTGAAAGCAGACAAAGACTAGCCATCTAACGTACGTCTTTAGTAAAGAGAAATTACTACGCGATAGAAACGCTCGCTAAAAATTTCTGAAAAAAAAATCGCAGCACTCCAACGGAGTTAGCTACAGTTCGCGTTGCATCGCCATATCTTGCTTCAGAGTGTAACAATTTTGAATATAAAAGCACCATCTGACTCACAAGGATGGTCCGTCTAGTCGAAAAGGCCTTCATACATGGAACTGATAGGACTATAAAAAGCATCGAACGCTGATTCCGAATCTGTCTCCGTTGTTTGCCAAGCGCCTCTGGAAGTAGAATTACGAGTGTTTTTGAGTTAAAAAATCAAATGCATTATTAGAACAAGATTTGTCAGAATTGCTCAAATGGTCCACTGTAGTTTATCAGAGCACTCTATTTGACGAATAACTTCAGTGCAAAAACTCATATTTGACGCTGCGCTATTTGAGCGCTGTAAAGACGCTTAAAATTGGATCTTACCTAAATTATGCGTTCATTTTTCGCAAAAAGAAAATATTAATATTGGCGTTATCGGCATGCAGACTAGCTCGGCAGTTATCAGATTTGGAATCAAATCAAATTTGGAACTATCGTTTGATGTTCTTTGAAGTGGTATAAGACTCATTTGAAAAGGCCACTTTGAGTAATCGGACTTCCCTTCTCAGCTGTCTTCTATATATAAAGAATTATATATATGAAGAATTCATGGATCTGTCTATATTTTTGTTTACTCGCTGCGCAATGAGTAAGGACTTTGAGTGACCTATCGCTAGCAAAAACCTGTAAAGATCCTTGAATTTGACCGAATACCGTGCCTAAACAGGAGCTTCTACATAACAGGAAATGCGTTTTGTCAAGCTTAGTTAAAACTTTGCTCTTGGATTCAGGAATTGTCCACTCTGAAGCATGATATGGCGGTGCGATGCGAGTCGGTAAAATTTAGAGTGTGAGGTGATATTTCACACAAAGTACGAGTGCTATTGTATATCAAAAGATGTGCCTCTTTGGGCTCAGATAGAAATTAATCTCGGTTCAGGAACTGTCTACTATGAGCCGAGATGACGATTGACGCAGATACGCTAGGTAACAGGTATCTTATTTTGTAGTAAAGCAGCAACCAATTGCATCTTCTCGACTGAGAGTATACTCTCATCTATAGATCAACCAAACAAACAAAAACTTATTGTCAAATTTATCACTACAACAGCATAACGGCCGTGATATAACTTTAGCCTTATCGTGTTACTGTTCTTGTGATTGTCTTATATATTAGGTTGAACCGCATGAGGCTAAAGTTGTCTAGAAATACGATCACCTTTTCCCTACCATGGTGACTAATATCCGGCCGTACCTGCTCTAAGTCTTCGCTCTGAGTGACTTTGAAAAAGATGCTGACCATCTCCATCCGAAATTAGGTTAATTTTGAACAAACAAAACGAAAGTTACAAATTTGAACGAGAGCTGAAGCCTATCTTGTACATTTTTTTGTGATTTCAATATCTTCGACTATAGAAGAAATAAACTCTCTTTTGCTTTAGAGTACTACAACTTAAGCTTACAGCACTGCAATCCTTTTCAAGAAATCTTGAAATCTTGAAATCTTGAAATCCTGAAATCCACACGAAACTCGGCTTTTGGACGAACGACTTCAGATCGATCTTTACCAACGAGTTCCTCAGCATAGCTGCACTATATATTCGGTTGTTCCAAGAATTTTGTCCGGCTTATATGGACTCTTTTCTTTCTGATTTTTAAGTAAGGATTGCGATGGTATCCTATTGAGCAAAAGAAGCTTCAAGAATCATTAATATAAGAGTGAACTTTGGTCCACGTGAAGTCTGAAGCTAGAAGCAAGAATTACACTATTTTCACGTGGGCAAGCTGCATCCTGATTGCTTTCCTGGCAAGCTCGTGGAAAAAATCCGCTTGCAATGGAAAGCGATACAGTCGAGTAGATTTTCCGCTTAATATAGTGCGCTTGCACAGAAGATGAGATGCCTTAAAATTTGCGCGTGAGGAATTAGCTTCGACTGCGTCGTCGGCCAATTCGCGCGCAAAATACCGGCAATGCTGGCGCAGCTACCTGTTTACGAGCAAATTTTACCGCATTTCCTAAACTGTGCAAGCACACTATATTAAGAAGAAAATCTACTCGACCGTAGCTATGGAAATAGAGGGGTTTAGCGAGCGCTTCGCGGCGCATACGCGCAGTGACGCACTCAAGTCCAATGTTTTCCTTTAGAGCAAGCTGACACGTAAAAATAGAGTATTAGTATATTAGTACGTCAAGTATGTAAAGGCTACTGCATGACGAAGGCCTAGTGGCAGTATTAGCTGAGCGGGCGCGAACTCGGGCGCGTATCTTTACTGGTGTAAATCCTGCGCCTTATGCGCTCTGGGGCTAATAAAGTCGCGTTCGTGCCCAAAGGTATTGCGCTTTCGTCGTGCAGCAACCTTTATATTTGCCATAAGAATAGCTAAACACCACACCAACTTGCCTCATGGACGTACTAACATGCCAGAGCTGTGCTCCTATGGCTATAAATCGAGTGACAAATAGTTAGAAAAACGAAGACTAAAATTAGTTGAGCATGCGCGAACGCCGCAAGCGCATATTCATAGTTGTAAGCCCTGCGCCTTATTGCGATCTTGGTCTAAGACCGCGTTGTTCGAGCCTCTAGGTTTTACGTCCTCGTCCGGCAGTAGCCCATAGGTGCAAGTACTTCCACCATCAATAGAAATTTCATGCGAAGGATTCATATCGCTCAATACCATGAAGCACATGATCGTTGATATGTACGTGCAAATGATGCACAAATCAATATTTATGACTTTCTGATGGCCCCTGCTACCGTATTGCGGCAGCATGTGCTTTTTTAGCCGTAATAATTATTCTGGCCACTGAAACAGCAAAATTGAACCATTTTCCTTTGTTTTTTAGCAATAAAAGAAACACATTCATAGGATGTGTCATTCACAAATCGGCCAAAGTTGAGAGAAACCAATTCTTGCAGAGAGTGGTGTGATTCTCCGTAAAAACGAAACAATAGCCGTGGAAAGTCACTACGGTAAGCTTGAATCGTACAACTCAGTTAATACATTGCAAACGAATAAAAAGAAATTTTTGTTGAAATGAATGTTTCATGCGATCCCTTCTTTAGTCCGCTCCCATTACATCTCTAGCATACGAAACATCCGGGAGCTCCAGGCATTCCAGGCATTCCTCCGGGTGCTCCAGGTATTCCAGGCATTCCTCCGTATGCTCCTATTCCCACTCCGAGTGGTCCAAGCATTCCAAGCATTCCTTCGACTGCTCCAGGCCTTATGGGCATACTAAGCTTGTACAGCATATCTGCAACGCCATATAGCGCATTCGTTGTCTCCGTTCCTAGAACGGCAAAATTGTAGATCCGTGTCATGAGTCGTATGTATGCGAAACCCACCTTCACGAATAGCCTTTCTTTGCTCTTCCGACACGGCTTGTCGCGGTTTACGTACTTTAGCAACGCTTGATATTGCGGGTGTATTGGCTGCTACTTGTTGCTCGGTCGGATTATGCGACAGTGTTTCTCCAACAAGAAAGAAAATCAGTGCCAACTGGATGAGCATATCTCAAACAAAACATGTGTGAAGATAATTGTTAAGGATTCAGTTGGGTAGAAGACTATGCGTCGCCGAATGTAGGGTGTCCCGCGTGGACGTCTTGCACAAATTCAGTCCATGTGAAAGGGTGCGTATTTGTTGCAATGAACGCCGGGGACGCCCCATTTCGGCGACATATAGTGCTCTACCTTGTCCAGTTGAGTTTACAAGGAAAGGATAAGGATACTCAGCCAAAGTGGCCTTTGACTATGTAAAGTGTAGCGTTCTAGAGCGCAAAGAACATTATCCAAATATCTGCTCTCCTTATGTATTCTCGAAGGACGGGGAAGCGCTTATTTTAGCACAAACTTGGCTTAAGTGATATAAAAATAGTCGTAAGTTTTTTTTAGCATATCCCTGGAAGTATAGGACATTCGAAAAATCGTGATGATGGCGCGATCGCGCGCAACACGCACGCACTCCCATTTTTTAGTTTCTATCTCTACTCAAATAGTTTTTCTGCATCTATATGAGGCATTGGAAGTAACTGAGCTGAGCGTTGAGGTGTTTTCTGTTTGTATGGGTGTTTTATGCTTCTGCATGCGCAATAGCCGCAGTCAACTCGTCGTCACGATTTTAAAAATGAACTATACTATTTATTAGGTTGTTACATAAGTTTTGTTAAACCTTCGTCTTCCTCCGGGCTTTTGCACCAGCTATGACCCACCTTAAGTTTAGAATCATCAAGAAGTTTCGGGTGCCCAAAAATTTAAAAAAATTTTATATTTTCGTTCAAAAAAGTCCTATATATCCTTAACTGGCTCACGCATATACACTCCGCATCCGACACTCAAATGTGCTGTTGCTGTATTTTTTATTAGCTAGAATACTTTTTACCAATGTAATGCTGTGCTGTTCTTACATTAACAGTTGTAAACTACAAGCCCTCGGAAGTACAAACGTAGAATCTTAGCTTTTCAAAAGCTCTGTTTCCCAAGACATGTTGAGCTAAGCGAGAAAAACCTGAGTGTGGAAAGCTAAATTCGATAATTTCCGAGAACTAAAGCCTATAGAGAGTTGAAATTGTTCACTTCTGAGGTCTGTGGCATACAACTGTTGATGTCTGATGTGTAGTGTCTATGCGTGAGCAGTAAGAGATCCGTAGGACTTTTTTGAACGAAGATATAAAAAAATTTCGATCTTTTGGGCTTTCGAAACTTTTTAGATTTTGGTTCTAAACTTAGAGTAAATGGAAGCTGGTGCAAAAACATAGATGCCATCTTATAGAGCTTGCTTTGCTCTGTAACGGTATCCAGACGTCAATTCAGCAAAAGAGGTGTATGATTATCTCAGCGAAATCTCAAAAGTGAAAATACTTACACTCCAAGCTCCATTTTTCATTATTTTCCAAAAATTCTCTTATTCTTTTTTCCATCTTTTCTATGGACTTTTGGGAGCATTAGTAGTAGTACTAAGACAGTTTGGAAGTTTATGCTGATCAATGACCGAAACTGGATTTGCTGAAAACGATTCGGAAAATTTTTTGAAAATGCGAAATAATTTTCTTTGTGACAATCAAAAATGTGCAGCACTACACATAAGTTGGAGTGGATGGAAAATTGTTTGACAAACTTATGAGATTTTTTCACTCGAATGTGACAAAACTTACACTCAGTATTGGAGAACTCTATGCAATAAAAACTCTTAGATGAAATATGTCCGCACTCCGCTACCTTGAAGCTTGGAAAGAGCATAATAACTGATTCTATACTAACCGCGCATTCAGTTTTTTGCACCATTGAGTGCTCATATATTACATAGAAATGCTCTGTTAAAGGAGCAGATTTAGAATATCGTCTAAAACAGTATGCATACCATATTAGAAGGCTACTTTAACTGACCTTCCTTCTCTTGTCATTGATGATATGGCGCTCTGTATATCCGTCCATGATCGCAAATGTACGTGTGAAAATAGAGCATCAATGAAGTCAACACCTTAGTCTCAGTTGCTTAAAACGAGCGCCAATATGCGGTTTTTGTCATGGAAGCCAAAATCTCATATGAGCCCATGAAGCGCAGTTTTTCAGCGAAAAATGGATATTGTGAAAACATATAAATATGTAGGGTACATTTAAATAATTTACATTTTCTGCTTGCCAAAAGGGACTAGTGACATAGTGGTGGTTTGAGCCCCCCCCCCCCCTCATCCCCGAAGAACTTTTCTTTACAATGCTAATTTGAATTCTTAGAAAAATATGAAAATTATCTTGATTGTTTACAGAAATAATCAAGTCATTTGCACATTTTCTTAATCCATATAAGTAAATTTCAAGTTCTCGATCCATTCTCGAGGGAAGCGGACTCCTTCCCCTGTCTAAAAATATCGGAAACTTGCTCTTATATATTAAATAGTTTTTCAAACTAGCAAACCATCTGGTGAAAATTTTCATTCATGAATATAGAGCCAAAAATGACGCAATAGTAAATCTTTTATCAAAAATAAACTGAATTTCATACAAATTCTTGCCAAGTAGACTCGACCCGTATATTTGCTGAAACATTTCTTTGTTTTTTATCATGTGTCCCACAAGTTTCGTCCGTTTTAATTTTCAATCGCAATAAGTCATGAACTCCTTCTCAATTTTAATTCTAAAGGAGTTTCAAGAGCCATTTGATAGAGCAAAGCAAGCTTACAAGATGGTGTTCTTGCTTTTGCACCAGTTCAAATCGATCTTGAGTTTGGAGCCAAAAACTAAAAAGATCCAACCTCTAAAAATTGAAAAAAATTGTAGCTCCGTCAAAAAAATTCTAGAAAGGTCCCTAAATTGCTCATAGGCACACTATTCACATCAGACATTTATATATACTGTTGCTGTATTTTTCCCTTGGTAATAAAAAACAAAAACCTTCATGTTTTTGCCAAAGTGATGCTGTGCTGTTCCGACGTTGGTAGTTGTACTACAGACCAGTGAAGGTACAGATCTTTTTCAGTTTTCCGAAGCAACGTCAAGTACTCTTGAAGACCGTCAGCTACCTTGTATGAATCATGCGAGTTTTTAAACCCAAACCCGTGAATTCAGTCTAGTTTGTCTGCTGACAAAATTGAGAGGCAAACTTACTCTTTAGTATACGACCACTGATGTCTGTCTGAACAGCACAGCATCACTTTAGCAAAAACATAAAAATTTTGTTTTCTCGATTTCTATCCAAGGAAAAAATAATCAATATACATGAACGTCTGATGTGGATAGTGTATCTTTGAGCAATTTAAGAGTTTTCTAGAACTTTTTTTGGACGAAGTTACGATTTTCTTGATTCTTCGGGCGGTTGGATCTTTTTGGTTTTCAGCTCAGCTCGAAATGTATTTGAATTGATGCGAAAGATGTATATCAACTTGTAGAGCTTGCTTTGTTTTATCAAATGGTTCGTTGAAATCTATCTAAAATTGAGGCATTCATGACTTATTGAAATTGAAAATCAAAACAGACGGAATCTATGGGATAACCTGGTAATAAGCGTGTTTCCTCTAGTATTTTCTCCAAACTTCGTTTGCCATTGCCAAATTGTTTCAGATTCAGTCGCCATATCTTCTTTGAAAAAAGTTAATTTTTGAATCCAGGCATTTATAAGCTCGTAACGGGGAGACCTTATAAAACATTGCTATACTATACTCTAGTTACATCAAGCCAATGGGGGACAGAGGGTGGGGTGGGACCTTCTCCCCGAAAATGAATTGTAAAATTTTGTAAAGTTACTTGCAAGCGACTTGTTTATACTTGTAAATCATTTAAATAGTTTTTTCAACTTTTTAAAAATCTGTATTAGCCCTAAAAATTTTTCGAAAAAGTGGCTAACGCCGCTCTCCCTTTTTCTAAAATTTCGAAGCCATGTGATTGCGAAACTTGGGAAACACCCAAACAAATTTCGATTGATGTCAGAATATTTCCACACAAAATTGATTTTCTGCCATTTTGTGTGATCTCCAGGGGATCCCCTGCGAATTACCTCTCATTTTCGAAGTGATTTATCTTTCTGAAAAGTCAATGAGAACGCTGTAAAATTGTACTGAGGATAAAGAGGAAAGATGTCTAGGGTAGGCAAATATGACGCACTCCCTCTCAGATCACCTCAACTCTCCAGCGGAGATGTACGCCTTGTCGTGGGAAAAAATTCACGGCACCGTACGCCAATTCACATGGGCCTAATCAGATTTGTATTAAGGTTATAAGATGTGCAATATAGTTCGGACCAGATCGAATAATATTATTCGAATATTATTCGATGGTCTCAAATTCGGTTCCGAATGATCAAAAAATTCGCTTATTCGAAAATCGTTTTGCATAATACTCAATAGCCAAGTATCCAAAATTATCCGTTTTCAATAGTATCCGGAAGTGGAATATTTGAACACCTCAGCTTTTGACTATTATTCGATGGTCAAGTATTGAATGGCCGACTAAATTATTCGATGCCCATCGAGTATCCAAACACTCGATAGGCACCGAAAATTTAAAAATTCTATGGGCATTGACTATCCAAGGAATTTGATGAGCATCGAATATTCGGAATTTTGATATTCCATGTACGATGTGTCCCTAAATTATCCGCATACTATTTGCTAATACCTCTCCTACGAAGTCTTTTTCAGCTCAAAATGTCACCTAAGCTTTGAGTAACATTTTGTATAGCTGGCTTCAGTTTACATTTACAGTAAAAAGAGAATTACCTAGGCTTTTTATTATTGTGAGATTAAGGTAGGACTTCCAGCATATAAAGCAAATGCGAAATAAGACGGTTGAATGGGCTTTTCCAAGAAAATCTGGATATTTGTGTGACAGAGTTTTTGCTTGTGCTAGCAACTTTTCACGTTTTCAAAGCTTTCGAGTGTGTAATCATGTTCTTGAAAAGCTTTGAAAAGGTTGCATGAACCTGGCACAACTTGTAAAGAAAGCGTGACAACTGCGTCTAAATTCCATCGAACAGTCTGAATATCAAAAAGAATGAGTCTTTTTTTTTTCGAAGGCTGTTT